TTATTGAACTTTGGGGATTACTGTCTAAACCGACTGTATACCTTGTTTGATGAATTAATCCATTTTGGATAAAATTGTTCCACTTTTATTGTAAGGATTCCATCGGTAATTTAGTTTGTGTATCTTCTGCTCATATTTTGGTCATAAGCTATATACAGTATATGACTGTATCAGTACACCCAATCTTAAATTGCTTTGAATAAAAAGTAAGACCTAAATGGCCAATGTTTCCTCAAACTGCAATTTTTTTTAGTTAACTTTAAAAATGTCTGTTTTTAAACACCAAGGTTAAATCTGGTTCCATGACCCAGAGGGTTTAGAATAAAACACATTTTAATTCTGTCAAATTAAAGTTAAATCATGCAATCTTTCAGATGTTTTTGTCCATACATACTTTAAAGCTCATAAGAATGTATTTATTTGTACAATAAACAAACAAACGTATGCAACACTTCCTCCCCATGAGACAAGGATGGCAAACATGTTGCTTCTTCTTCTTATTATTGTTTTTTTTTCTTGATCTCACACTAAACGTTGAAAGGTATATTTATGGAGCAAGATTGTAAGAGTTGTTTCAGATGGTTTCAATTCATCAGCTGGATCATACATCTGTTCCTGCTTCAGACAGTAAAAAAAAATGCTTAACATACAAAAAAATGTTTATTTTGGATTACGTTTGCATCAGCCTCTCCAGTCCTAACAACTTGTCAAATATGTCCAGATGTATTTGTGTATTTTCAGATGCTGAAATCTTCAGTGCGGACAAAGGACTTCATTTGCAGTTGACTGGCACAAAACAAGTACATTGATCAACGAGAGCTTGTGCCTTCTTTTCATTATTCATTTATATATGTTTTGAACATCAAAATCTCCCTTGTGACAATTACACAAATAACTTTTAAAATGTATCTTGATTTAAACGATGAAATAATGGTTTAACATACTCAATCACTAAGAAATATTCAGTTAAAGGTGCAGTATGTGATTTTTAGCGGCATCTAGTGGTGAGGTTACGAATTGCAACCAACAAAAGTTACAGTGGCTGACAGGAAAATATGTCATTGTCTGAGACAGGAGAGAGTAGCCAGTTAAAGCTAGGGTATGGGATTTGAAAAACGGCCGGCAGATTTTGAAAATACACAACTCAAAAGGTCCTACCTTCTTTCCTCCAACGCTGGCCCTGACTCCACCCATTCGCAGAACATGGACGCAATCATGCATCTGCAAAACTCAGATGCTCGAGATTGCTCTTACTCTCTCTCTGTACCGGGGCGACTTGCACTTACTATGACTGGGTCACGAGCTTTGAGTATGCGCACGAAGGGGACACGCGCCGAGTGGGGGAGGGGGGTGTGGTACGACCATTTGTTTGACGCATTTTCTGTCCAATGATTCTAGGTGGTCTTGGAAATGATTGGCTGGAGTTTTTCGAGTCCTGCCCGTTCCACAGATGATTAAATTGCTTAATTTTCATTTCAGTGCTTCTAACTCAGTGGCTGTAAGTGGGTTAGGAATAGGATTTCAAGTGATTTTGAAAAAATGGTCAAAAAAGAAAATCACATACCCCACCTTTAAGCAATTAGGTTTCTTTACAAAGATAAATTAAGAAATTATGTTTACTTTATTATTTAGTAAAACGATATGTTATTGCGAATATTATTGTTACTTGTTCATCATTGTGTCAGTGTTTTATTCGCCGACTTTCGCTAGCGTCTTTGCACGAAGAACAACATAGTGACAAAACGTGCTCTGTAGTAGTTTGTCCGTTTAGGGCTACTGTAGAAACATATCGGGGCAAAATGGCTATTTCAATGTAAGGGGACCCGCGGTGTATGTAGATAGAAATGGCTCATTCTAAGGTAATAAAAAACATAACGGTTCATTATGCAAGGTCTTTATACACAACTGAAAACATAGTTATGTATCTTATATTGCATTTCTGTCTAAATATCCTCCTAAATATTACACAATGCACCTTTAAAGGAGAACTCCGGTCAATTTTAACATTGAGCTAATTTTTTTGTACATTTGGAGTGCTGTCAGTACAGACAAAAACGACAAAAATCGGTGTTGCCTACACCGTGTTATCCTCTTTTATCCTCAGTAGTCGATTGTCGAGTTCGCGCGCGCGATCATTGGTAACTAATATAACTAATGATCGCGCGCGCGAACTCGACAATCGACTACTGTGGACTTTGAACGAAAACAGGAAGTAAATACAGGTATGTGAGCTGGCTGAATTAACATCATTTTTATTAATATCTTTCACATCTACTGCAGTTAGATTGACCGTGGTCACTCTTAATAACACCACTCACAAGGCTGTGCACTTGTAATGACAAATCAAGGATGTTAAGAGGCTAAAAGCAGGTTTAGAACTTGCCCCATTGAAGTCAACAGGGTGCGAATTTTAAAAAGAGGATAACACGGTCTAGGCAACACCGATTTTTGTCGTTTTTGTCTGTACTGACAGCACTCCAAATGTACAAAAAAATGAGCTCAATGTTAAAATTGACCGGAGTTCTCCTTTAAGCAGGCAGGAGTTCTGTGATAAAGCTATATTATTTTCCAGTAAAACAACAAATACATATAGCCTAAAGTAACACTGTGAGAAGATATTGCAAAAAGCATGAAATGAAAGCAAATAAAGACATCGACCAGTATCATGTATCTACAGGTATTTCTATTTGCATTTGTTCAGCATTGCTGGCACACAATTAAATGTTTTCTGAACCACTCTTTCTGTATCAGCAGTGTGATCTCCAAACTTGAAAAAAGACCCAAAAACTGCTAAACCCCAAAACAACCAGAGTTGTCTAAAATATCAACAAAAAAAACAAAACAAAAAAAAACAGCAGATGAAAGAGTCGCCAGTAAAAGCTTGTGATGTTAATGAAATTTGTAAGGTTAAAAAACCCTCTAACGCCGCCTTCACACTGACAGTTGAAATCAGCTCCGATACGGCTTCGAAACGACCGGAAGTCATTCATTTCCTATGGAGATTCACAGACCGCATGCGAATGGGTCCGAACCGGGTCCGAACGAGTGCGGAGCGGAAAAAATCGTGTCAGTTGGTCACCCGGATGCGTTTAAAGAATTGAACTCTTGCGAAAAGCTACGGACGGTTCCTATCCGACAATTGACCCTTCGCTAAGCCCCGCCCTCCTTAGTTACTGTTGCTACGCCTGTCAAGGTTTCGCGGCTGCCACGTCTATTACAATGTGAATGCACCGGTGTCAGACATTCCCAAGGAGATATTTAGTCATTTTTGGCGAACAAGTGAAATATCTGAGAGAGCAAGACAAAAGGGACAGCAGTATGCATTCGAGGGATATATCCACGACATAATATGCAACCGATTAGAGAATAATTTCATCAAAATTGAAGCTAAAGCCTATAACGTTAGGTCCCAGCGCAAGCAGCAGCCGCCTCCTTAGCAGACCATTCAAATGGGAAACACACAAATTGAACAGCTATGTTCATGCACAGCAGAGTAAGTGAAATGTGAAAATAATCTAATATCAAATCAATTTAAATCAAACAGCTTATCCATCAATCTAACACCGGGAGAGCCGCGATCGGATTGGGGTAAAGTTACAGGGGTAAAGTTAACGTTAGTAGGCCGTCCGCCGTTGATTAACACAATGCTGAAACATATTTTAAAGTATGTCAGTGAGCCTCCGTCTTGCCTTTAATCGTCTTATTTTACGTTCAAATACATGCATTAGGAACAAAGAACCGCCATTATTTCCAAGCAATTCACCTTTTTCCTCACTTCTCCGTGGGGGGCGCCGTAGCCGCGAGTGACTTCCGGTAAGATGCTCTCAACTTCCGTTTAGTAATTGTCATCAGCTATACGACGTTACTGGTCATGGCAAATAGTGGAGGTTCTGGTAGAATTTGTGCCGTTAAAGGCTGTCACAACAGCTACAGAAAGCTAAAAAAACTTCTGGAACATGAGTGTTACGACCACAAGCCAACAAAAAGAGCGGAATGTAACTGCCCAAAACCATTTAAATTGCACAAGATGCCATCCGACGACGAGGGCAAAAGACAATGGCTCGCAGCACTTAATTTGAAATTACCGCCCCGTAATATCCATGTATGCTCATTCCACTTTGTGGACAGACAACCAACAACGGAAAATCCATATCCTGAACTTTGGCTTGGATATGATCGTCCATTAAGAAAGAAGAGAAGACAACGACGAACTTGTCCGGAGGAAGGTGAGAGTGAGACTATTCATTAACGTTATTTACAAGGCTAACGTGCAGGTCTTCACAAGTAATCGAAATGTGCCTTATGATACGGATTAAGTGTTTTCAGCGTTTCCTTCAACCCTTCAGTATGTTAACTTGTAGTATAAAAGTGTGTTCATTTAACAAATGACTCTTTTGCATCGGCTCTTTAAATGAACCATTCTGACTACCACGCTCCTGTGTTAGTGTTTTTGATTCACTATGACGAATCGTTTAAATGAGTCAACTTTACGCTCCACTTTGAGTGTCAATACAGCGCAGTTTATTTTATTTTTTAATTAATGTTGACATATATATTAATACATATATATGAATGTTGTTTTTACTCCGTTCCACTTTAGTCAAAGAGGTCTGAGTAAATATTTGACTAAATTACTTAAAAAAAATTGACAGCAGAGTGTGGTCTGTTTGTTCATTTGAACAGCTACTGCAGCAGTAAGATCTTAAATCTTATCACAGCTCGCAATGTTTTGACAAAATAATACCTATCAGTAATTGTTTATAAGCTCATTAAGGTATGCAGGAAAAACTCAACATTTGGCCCGTCATACATGCCATTTAAAAGTGTATTAGTGCTAAACTAAAATTCTGTATGATTATATTCTAAAATATATTAATTTATTAATTGACTAACTTTTTTTTATTGTATACAATTTTCAAGAAATCACTCTTTTTGAAAAAGAAAATATAATGCCCCAGCTAATTATAGATATGGTTATAATGGTTTGTTTGTTTTTACAGGAGCTGGTGTTTATCAAGAAGAGCACACTGGAATGGACGATGGGAGGCCTGAAGAAGAGAGTCTTGCATCTGTCCCAAGCCCCATGCAATCTAATGTTGATGACCACGGCTGTACATCTAAAAACTTTGCCTCTGTTGGAACACAATGGGAAGACCACATCTTCAGGGAGCATTGCTATAGCAAGAGACAGCACAGTGTAACTTATGTAAACCAGTCAACACAGTGTGATACAATCAAGCCTCTTACTCTGATGAGCGACTCGGACTCAAATCTGTACACCGGGCTCCCACTCCACACATTTCATACGCTTGTAGCTGTTCTGCGTCCCCATGCGAATGTGGCATACCAGACTGAAGTTGAACAGCAAATCTTGCTCACACTAATGAAGCTGAAATTAAACCTTTTGATAGAAGACCTAGCCATTCGATTTTGTATATCAGTGAGTCAAGTGAGCAGGATCATTTCTTTTTGGATTGACACTATGGCTGTAGTCTTGAAGGATCTAATACCATGGCTCCCCAAAGAAACAATAAGGGCCACAACACCAGAGGCATTTAAGCAACATTATCATAATGTTACCTGTATCTTAGACTGCAGTGAAAGTGAAATCCAAAAACCAAAGAACCTTGACTCAAGGTCTGAATCGTACAGCCACTACTATGCTTGCAACACTATCAAATACTTAGTGGCTATTGCACCTTGTGGTCTAGTAATGTTCATATCAGCAGCATATGGGGGCCGCTGTAGCGACAAATTTATTACGTGTGACTCTGGCATTCTTGAAAACCTTAAACCGGGTGATGAAGTGATGGCAGATAGGTTTTTTTTTGATAAGAGACTTATTGTATGAAAGACAGGTCAACTTGATAATTCCTCACTTCGCCAACCAAACACAGCTGACAGAAGAAAAAGTAACGTGCAGTCGCAGGATTGCAAATGTAAGGATACATGTTGAACGCGCAATTAGGAGACTGAAAGTGTACAAGGTGTTGTCACAAACCTTGCCTATCAACCTTATGCCAAAGATTGATAAAATTCTGCGTATATGTGCAGCTTTAGTGAATCTGCATGGTGACCTGATCCGTGAAGCAGAAAATTAATGTTCAGTCTACATGTAGTCAAATTTGTACATATATATTTAATCACAATACTTTACATTTTTAATTCTAAACAAATCTCAATGTTTTCTGTTTTTGTGTACAATGTACATGGATAGATATATAATTGTTAATTTGTTTAAATACTATACAACACTTGTGCAAAACCTGTAAACAAGGAACTACTATCAAATAAATTCAAAATGTTTTTGAAAACTTGCCTTGACGCATTGCCAGAACCTTTTTCCTCCTATAAATGTCAGGATCTATATACACTTATACACAAAAAACGGTTAGTCTTTGTACAAGTTGTTTATGCTTTTCTGACTATATGTAGGTATTTGCCATTCAGTTTGAGTCGTCCGGCAATGAATTCATCCACTACTCTAGGAAGCATCACAGAGAAGTAAAAGCCTCTGAGACGAGTAACCTCCTCTGCTAAATACTCTGCATCATATGGTACATTTATCAGAATGTGTTCCTTTGATGACCAGACAAGTAGTTTTGCCATTCTTAGCCCAGTACAAAACATGCCTAATTGTATCTGTCTGTAGTAGCCCCTGACTCCATTCCTCTGTAATTCAGGCTTCCCATCAACCACTTTGATGTCACTATAGCTCATTGTGAAATGGTCTGCTAGAGAGGTGGTGGTTGTGATAGAACTCAGGATTCGTGTGTGGGTGATGGAAGAAGACTCAGGATCGGCAAAGAGTGGAGCTCGTGCACTTTATTAGTAATGCTCTTTTCACTGCGCTCTCTGGCGCTCTCACAACTAACTCAGAATTATGAACTCAATTCACATGTAAAACAAAAACTCTTCCCGCTGGCTACAGCTTCTCAGGATGCCGATGAAGCAACACTCTTTCCGCTGTTCACAGCTTCCCGATCTGCAGACACAAACGGCAGCATGCACGAGCTTCCAGTCTCTCTCTCAAACCGCTGTCAGCACGGCCCGCTTATATGCGGTCTCCTCACGCCAATTACTGAAATCACAAACAGGTGTTTGTCATTTGCACTTGACCCACTTCCACTTACTCACCGCTCGGTTCCGCCCTAGCTCTCCCGCTACAGACTTCGCTGAACCACGCCCCCCTCGCCAAATACCCCCAACGCCCGTCTCAGGCCGGGGAGCCGTCCGGCCTGCAGCCCCCCCCCCCCCCCCCCCCCTCCCCTCCGGGAGAGGAAGTCGGCCACAGCCATCTGTGCACCCGGCCTGTGGATCACCTTGAACTTGAAGGGCTGTAAAGCTAGATACCAACGGGTGATCCGCGCGTTGGTCTCTTTCATGCGGTGGAGCCACTGCAGGGGAGCGTGGTCCGAACAGAGGGTGAACTCTCGCCCCAGGAGATAATAGCGGAGAGTGAGGACAGCCCATTTGATGGCCAGGGCTTCTTTCTCAATGGTGCTGTACATAGTCTCTCTCTTTGAGAGCTTCCGACTAATGTACAGCACCGGCCGTTCCTCACCCTCCATCTCCTGGGTCAAGACAGCGCCCAACCCCCTGTCCGACACGTCAGTCTGTAGTAAAAAAGGGAGAGCAAAGTTAGGAGCCTGTAACAGCGGGCCGCCACACAGGGCAGCCTTTATCTGGGTGAAAGCCTGCTGGCACTGTTCCGTCCACTGGACGGTATCTGGCGCTTTCTTTTTAGTTAGATCAGTCAGCGGGCTAGCAAGGTCCGAATAATTAGGAACAAACCTTCTGTAATATCCTGCTAGCCCCAGGAACTGTCTAACCTCCTTTTTGGTCTTGGGTCTCGGACAGGTTGCAACTGCTGCTGTCTTATCAATTTGGGGACGCACCTGCCCATGACCCAAGTGGAAGCCCAGATACCTAACTTCCACGCGCCCAATTGCACACTTCTTTGGGTTAGCCATGAGCCCCGCCCCCTCCAGCGACTTGAGGACAGCTCGCAAATGCTGCATATGCCGCTGCCAGTCGTTGCTATTAGGGATGGCCCGATACCATTTTTTTTCAAACCGATACGAGTACGAGTATTTACATTTGTGTACTTGCCGATACCGAGTACCGATACCGATATTTCTACCGCAAAAGTAATAGGCTCCCAGAAAAGAAGACGACTATTTTAGAACACAGGTTAGAAGACTGTTTTTATTTTCTTCTCTGCTTGTTTTAACAAGTCTAAAAATAAATAAAAATTAGTAAAATAATAAATGTATTAACACACAAACCACTGTTATTTAACATAAAAGCAAGCAGGCTACTGCGTGCATGGTCTGGCATGACTGAATGCGCGCAAAGTGGGCTCCCTTAATAAATCCTAAAAGCTGACAGTTCATCGCGATCTCACACATCTCTGTTATTATCAATGAAGCTGACTGCACAATCAATCTTTCACAATATCCACACTTTGTTTGTTATAATTAGAGGATTTGCCAGCATACAGAATTCAGCACTGAACAAAAAAGTCCGTTTTGAGCGGTGAGGGGAGTCTATCTTAAATGCTTCTGATTGGCCATTGCGTTCCAGAAATCAACACATATGTCTGTGATTGGCTACATCGCTCAACGCTGTAACCATGTTATGAATAGAAACTCTGTCCTGTAAATCGTTTCTATTTTGTTGTAGTTGTTCTTGTTGCTTTTCTGCAAGAGATGAATAAAAATCTTTTAGTTTTTATGTTTTATTCATAGATATTTCTAGTTTGCGGGAGTCCCGCGAATCGTTTTATTCCCCCGTAACCCGCACACACAGAGTGAGTGCATTACCGCCTGCGCGCGCGCTCGGCCATCAGATCTATGATGCGTCTTCAGATGTTTAATTAGATTGCTGGTGTTAAACGATGTACTTTCTTTCCCTCCTCTCGACACCTTAGCTGAACATAACTCACACCTTGCTGTTGTCATCATCCCTTATCTTGAAATGAGCCCAAACCGCCGACATTATACTTTCCTATGCGTCAGTTCACCTCGACAAAGCACTCGCGGCGGCCAGTTTCGTTTTGCAAAATGTACGTGGTATCGGTGCGTGGTATCGGCGAATTTTTATGAGTACGAGTACGAGTATATTAGGACAGTATCGGCCCGATCCCCGATGCCAGTATCGGTATCGGGCCATCCCTAGTTGCTATAGATGATAATATCATCCAAGTACGCTGCGGCATATGCAGCATGCGGCCGGAGGATCCTGTCCATCAAACGCTGAAAGGTGGCCGGTGCCCCGAACAACCCGAAAGGAAGAGTGACAAATTGGTGTAATCCAAACGGTGTCGTGAAAGCAGTTTTTTCTTTGGATATTGGAGATAAGGGGATCTGCCAATACCCTTTTGTCAAATCCAGTGTCGAATAAAAACGAGCAGTACCGAGCCGATCAAGCAATTCGTCAACCCTTGGCATTGGATACGCATCGAATTTCGATACGGCATTCACCTTGCGATAATCCACACAGAACCGAACTGAGCCGTCAGTTTTAGGCACTAAAACTATCGGGCTCGCCCAGTCACTGTTGGATTCCTCTATTACTCCCATATCCAGCATCGCAGCTAATTCATCCTGAACTACTTTCTTTTTATGTTCAGGTAATCTATATGGCCGGCTGCGAACAACCACGCCCGGCTCAGTCTCAACATGGTGCTGTATGAGGTTCGTTCGACCAGGGAGGGGCGAGAACACATGAGCAAACTCAGTTTGTAAATTTCGAATGTCAGCGATCTGGGACGGTGAGAGGTGGTCTCCACAAACGGCCAGAGCGGAAGATTGAGACTTTAGGTTCGCCTCTGGCCCGAGATCCTCCTCCCCACTCACCACCGTCGCCAGCATCGCTGACTCCGCCTCATTCCACTTTTTGAGCAGATTGAGGTGGTATATCTGATGTGACCCGTCCCTGTCTGATCGAATAACCTCATAGTTAAGATCCCCAATACGCCGTGTGACCACAAACGGTCCTTGCCACTTGGCGAGTAATTTAGAGCTGGATGTAGGGAGCAATACAAGTACTTTATCTCCCGGTGTAAATTTGCGTAGTCTAGCCCCCCTGTTGTATAGCCGACTTTGTTTGTCCTGGGCCTGTAACAAATTCTCCATAGAGAGCCGCCCCAGAGTGTGGAGTTTTGTTCTCAGGTCCAGGACGTATTGAATTTCATTTT